ACTTGGCGCAGCTTCAAGTGAGAGCTCGGCGGCTGACACAAAGCTCGTGCTTGACATTAAAGGTTTGTGGCTTGACACTTCTTGCTGGAATACATTTCTTTTTTTTTGCGTTACATCAACGCTCCCTATAGAGTAGAGGTGGAATGAAGAGGCCACCATTATATCCAAGACAGTGTTCCTCATCCCTCCCCTTCTTCCCGTCTCCTATCATTTCCCAAGGCTGTTTACCACAAACACAAGAGCAACACCGCCTGAGCTCATTATGGACAGCCAAGCCGCAATATACTGCCAAGTCCTGCCCCAAAGCCTCTGTTGTCTTGGGAACCCAGCATCCAAGAACATGGAGGGGAGGGTTGGTTGTGTGCGGGTGCTGGTTGTGATCTATTGGGGGGGGGGAGGGGGGCATGATGTCATCCTGTGGCATGGAGGGGGCCAATCAAGCCCTGAGAAAATTATGTCACCTTTTGTTAAGCTGGTCCATTCAGGGCTATAGAAGTGCAGTGAATTGAGAGCTGCAGAGAGGTCATTTTTCCCCCTGAGCTGCGTATGTGTGTGAGAAAAAGCGGGGGAGAAAAATAAAAGAGGGGGGGGGGGGAGGCAGGCAAGTAGGGAAGTCCATTGTGGACATGCTAATGTTGTTGACCATAAGCAGGGCCATAAAGATGTCATGAAGCTCAACTTCCAAAACATCAGCGCTGGGGCCTTCACACCCCATTTCTTTTACAGATGGAGATGACCTCGTTCCCCACAAATGTGATTCTTAATATGATCCCTATGACGCTTTGAACAACTTGTCAGAACATTGTCAAGCGGCAGAATAAAAGCCTGAGCAAACTGCAATGCAGTCTAACCCGGTGTGCTTTGTTTTATCGCAGACAATAAGCAACCCCTTGAGGAATAATTACCCCCTTTAGCAACTCCCGTTCCCGCTCCCGCACCCACGTCCCCATTCCCTGCAGCCCCCCCCACCCCCCCCCCTTCCGAGCCAAACCTTATTGAATCACAAGCTGAAATTGACAGTGAAAGACAGTTGAATGGGAAGTCACTGCTGAATTGTTGAACTCACTTACAATAAGTGAAAACAATAAATGCATCTGTAGTATGCGCTGGAATGTCTTTCTGCAGAAGACGAGGAGCTGCGGGGATTTTCATCCACAAAACGGTGTAAACTCCCTGCAGTTTCACTCGTGCTGAGCAGGACTGTGACATTAAGCACTTCTCTGTCGACATTGTACATACGAGGTTTACAGAAACTAAACTCAGCAGCAAACACATTTTCCATGATGTCATCTCTTGCGATAAAACAAAATGATCTTCCATCCATCCATCCATTTTCCTCCGCTTATCCGGGGTCGGGTCGCGGTGGCAACAGGCCAAGCAGGCTGACCCAGACTTCCCTCTCACCGGCAACATGTTCCAGCTCATTCTGGGGGATCCCGAGGCGTTCCCAGGCCAGCTGGGAGATGTAATCCCTCCAGCGTGTTCTGGGTCTTCCCCGGGATCTCTTCCCAGTTGGACGTGCCTGGAAAACCTCCAGTGGGAGGCGTCCAGGAGGCATCCTAATTAGATGCCCGAACCACCTCAGCTGACTCCTTTCGACGCAAAGGAGTAGCGGCTCGACTCCAAGCTCCCTCCTGATGACCGAGCTCCTTACCCTATCTCTAAGGCTGAGCCCGGCCACCCTACGGAGGAAGCTCATTTCGGCCACTTGTAACCTTGTCCTTTCGGTCACGACCCAGAGTTTGTGACCATAGGTGAGGGTAGGAACGTAGACCGAGTGGTAAATTGAGAGCTTTGCCTTCCGGCTCAGCTCCCTCTTCACCAGGACGGTCTGGTGCAGCGCCTGCTTTACTGCTGCAGCCGCACCGATCCGCCTGTCGATCTCCCGCTCCATCTTTACCCTCACTCGTGAACAAGACCCCAAGATACTTGAACTCCTTCACTTGAGGTAGGCACTCCGTCCCCACCTGGAGGGAGCAATCCACCGGTTTCCGGCAGAGCACCATGGCCTCAGATTTGGAGGTGCTAACTCTCATCCCTGCCGCTTCACACTCGGCTGCAAACCGCCCCAGTGAATGCTGGAGGTCACGATCCGAGGAGGCTAACAGGACCACATCATCTGCAAACAGCAGAGAGGCGATCCCGAGACCCCCGAACCTGACCTTCTCCACCCCCAGGCTGCGCCTAGATATCCTGACCATGAAAATCATGAACAGGACCGGAGACAAAGGGCAGCCCTGGCGGAGGCCAACACCCACCGGGAACGTGTCTGACTTATTGCCGAGAATGCGGACACAGCTCCTACTGCAGTCGTACAGAGACCGGATCGCTCATTGTAATGGGTCCGGCACCCCATACTCCCGCAGCACCCCCCACAAGAACCCCCGAGGGACCCGGTCGAAAGCCTTCTCCAAGTCCACAAAGCACATGTAGACTGGTTGGGCAAACTCCCAGAACCCCTCCAGTAGTCTTGCGAGGGTAAAGAGCTGGTCCACTGTTCCACTGCTCCTCTTGTATCCGAGGTTCGACAAATGGTCGGAGCCTCCTTTCCAGCACCCTGGCATAAGCCTTCCCCGGGAGGCTGAGTAGTGTGATACCCCGGTAATTCGAGCACACTCTCCGGTCCCCCTTTTTGAAAATGGGAACCACCACCCCGGTCTGCCAGTCCATGGGCACTGATCCTGACCCCCATGCGACATTGGAGAGGCGTGTCAGCCAGGACAGCCCAACTATGTCCAGCGCTTTCAGCATCTCAGGGCGAATCTCATCCACCCCCGGCGCCTTGCCACCAAGGAGCTTTTTGACTACCTCAGCTGCCTCTGCCAGGGATATGGGTGAGCCTCCCCCTAGATCTTCAGGCGCTGCCTCCTCTGCAGAGGACATGTTGGTCGGGTTTAGGAGTTCCTCAAAGTGCTCTTTCCACCGCCCGACGATGTCCCCTGTCCGGGTCAGCAGTTCCCCCCCTGCTGAGAACAGCCTGGGGTAAGCCCTGCTTTCCCTTCCCGAGCCGTCGGATGGTTTGCCAGAACCTCCTTGAGGCCAACCGAAAGTCCTTCTCCATGGCCTCCCCGAACTCCTCCCATGCCCGAGTTTTAGCATTCGCGACCACCGCAGCTGCAGAGCTTCTGGCCTGCCGGTACCTGTCAGCTGCTTCGGGAGACCCCTGGGCCAACCAGGCCTTGAAGGTCTCCTTCTTCAGCTTGACGGCTTCCCTCACCTCCGGTGTCCACCACCGGGTTCTCGGGTTGCCGCCACGACAGGCACCGATGACCTTCCGGCCACAGCTCCTAGCGGCCGCGTCCACAATAGAGGCTTTGAACATGGTCCATTCGGATTCCATGTCCCCAACCTCCCTCGGGATGTGAGAGAAGTTCTTCCGGAGGTGGGAGTTAAAGACCTCCCGGACAGGGTCCTCCGCCAGACATTCCCAGTTCACCCTCACTACATGTTTGGGCTTGCCGGGTCTGTCCAACCGGTTCCCCTGCCATCTGATCCAACTCACCACCAGGTGGTGATCAGTTGACAGCTCTGCTCCTCTCTTCACCCGAGTGTCCAAGACATACGGCCGCAAATCAAATGATACGATTACAAAGTCGATCATTGATCTCCGGCCTAAGGTGTTCTGGTACCAGGTACACTTATGAGCCACCTTATGTTCGAACATGGTGTTCATTATGGCCAAACCGTGGCAAGCACAGAAGTCCAATAACGAGACACCATTCGGGTTCAAATCGGGCAAGCCGTTCCTCCCAATCACCCCCCGCCAGGTTTCTCCGTCATTGCCCACATGAGCATTGAAGTCCCCCAGGAGAACTATGGAGTCGGTAGGTGGCGCCCTTTCCAGGACCCCTCCCACCGACTCCAAGAAGGCCGGATACTCTGAACTGCTGTTTGGTGCGTAAGTACAAACCACAGTCAGAGCCTTGCTCCCCGCAACCCGTAGGCGCATGGAGGCGACCCTCTCATTCTCCGGGGAGAACTCCAACACAGCGGTGCTCAGCCGGGGGCTCGTGAGTATCCCCACTCCCGCCCGGTGCCTCTCACCCTGGGCAACTCCGGAAAAGGACAAAGTCCAACCTCTCTCCAGGAGCTTGGTTCCAGAGCCAGCGCTGTGTGTGGAGGTGAGTCCAACTATATCTAGCTGGTATCGCTCCACCTCCTGCACCAGCTCTGGCTCTTTCCCCGCTAGCGAGGTGACGTTCCACGTCCCTAGAGCTAGTCTATGCTGCCGGCGATCGGCTCGCCCAGGCCTCCCGCCTGACCCGCCGCCCGGTCTGCATTGCACCCGACCCCGATGCTTGCCCTTGCGGGTGGTGGGTCCACAGGGTGGCTGCTCCATGCTGTTTATTCGGGCTGAGCCCGACCGGGCCCCATGGGCGAAGGCCCGGCCACCAGACGCTCGCCGACGAGCTCCCCTCCTGGGTCTGGCTCCGGGAGGGTGCCCCGGTTTCCCTGGTCCGGGAGAGGTGGCTAAAGTCCGTGGGCCGCTTATCATTAGGGTCGTTTGAACCGCTCTTAGTCTGGGCTCTCCCCCGAGACCTGTTTGCCTTGGGAGACCCTACCAGGGGCTAATGCCCCGGACAACATAGCTCCCAGGATCACTGAGCCACTCAAACTCCTCTACCACGTTAAGGTGGCGATTCGCGAGGAGGAAAATGATCTTTTTACGCAGAAAATTGTTATTACCACGTATCTATTATTCACACTGGCATTACTGAGGTAAAACCCTGTGATCCCAGCCCATCAAAATTTAAATGTCACATTATTCCATTTTCACTTTATACTTCACTTTCACTCCGCTCCTCATTGCCTGAGCAGGAGTGGTACAACTCCTGATACAGCTCCTGGTAGCAGATTGGCAAATACTGACCCAACTGGTAATGAATCCAGCGCGATTAATAATAATAATACAAACACACATAACGAACCCCGTGAAAGCATATTTCGGCTATTCATCTCGTAGATCTGCAGCTGCAATGACAAAACAAACTGACAGCAGCTTGGATACACCTTCTGTTTTTATTTATGTTAAAGGGTTTCACAGACAACTGAAATTATTACGGAGCTATAAATCATTATCAAAACAAACAGCTTGAAGAGATTATTAATAAAAAAACAACAAGGCTGCCAATGAGATGTGGTGTCAATACTTGCATTCCTCGATGACAATGGCTTCTTTGTGAATTGGAAGATGTTCGAATGTCCATTGACTGAGTAATCCTTCCGAGACCTTATTATGTGTATTAATTAATTCTAAACACTAGGAAATATTTATTGTGCTCCTCACAAGATACACTTTGTACGTGACTGCATTGGTGCAAGCGCTGCCTTCAGTCTGTAAAAATAATAGACCTTAAAAATGAAAATAACGTCTGATTATTTTCCGTTTACTGTTCCAGCATCTGTTGATACTGTATCCAGAATAACACAGTATATGTCACAACTGCAGCGAATGAGCAAGAGCGTGAATAAACACTGAATATCAAAAGCAGATGTATATACAGGGAAATATTAATCCAGGTTCAATTTAGAAAAAGTCAAAACAATGTGTAGATCCATTGTGGTAACCCCGGTAATCGTACATTCGTAGAGTTGACTTTCCTATCGAGCGCCTCTCTCCAGACAGGGTTGACTGATCTGTTCCACAATATCTGAGCAACAAAAATACACTCCACTGTCCTGCTGAGTTTATGTCACAGCTTCTCCAAGTCCAAGCTGCTGGCGCTGGATCCTGAGAGCCGGATTGTCAGTGATGGAGCTCACGCTGTTCGCAGCCATGCCAGGAGCAAACATCTGCTGCATGGGGGATGCTGGTCCACAGTCCAAACCAGGATTTAGTGTGATCCTAGAAACAAAATACAGAAACTAATGATTGAATGAGGCCAAAATACACTTGAAGCTTTCACATTGACACATGTTTCTCACACCCCATACTTAAGAAAATTTGAGGTTTTGATCTTTTCTGGCAACATTCCTTTTTTTTAAATGCTAAAAGTAACTGTTCAGTGAAGTTACTTCAAACAACCAGAGATTCATAAAACACCCAGAATTGATCTACACAAAGTTCTTCTCCACTGATGCCTGAAGCAGGTCTGGCTGCTTTCTCAAACTTTCCACACAAAAAAAAAAGGGGCTTGAGGATTCAAACTGGCATAAAGAAGATGCAGATGAAGAGTGCGCACATCCACAGCTGAAATGATCACATCATGAGCGGTGGCAAAAGTGCTTCGCTTCCAGCAGAGAAGATACAAATCACACCGAGCGTTCTCAAGTTGGAGCTCAAATGCCAGAATTAAGATGTCAAAATATTGCTTCAGGCCCAAAGAAAGTACTGATTTGAAAGAAAGAAAGAAAGAAAATGGCCCTTTTTATCTAGAATACATGTGTGAGAACATCTGAGGAACAAGATGAGATAATTGTCTGGAAAAACAGTGGGAGGAATATGTTGCTGTCTAGTGAGAGCGCTGTTGATCAGTGTAAAACATCTGCTTTTTTTTTTTTTCACAACGACGTCAGAACAGCCAGAGGTGAGGTAATGCAGGTAGGTGGCCTCTTGACAACCCGTAGCCTGCTTGACCCGTGCTTGTGCATACAACCACCCACAAAATGACATTACGTCATCGGCCCCCACACACCATCCCTACTCAGCCAACGCGACGGGACCGGCCTGTCCCGCTTTGCTCGGGGAAGGAACAACGTGTCAGACGAAAAGTAGTCATCCATCAGTGTTGTCTCCTCTTCTTTCTGCCTGTCTGCACCTCCGAGCTGGTTTACCTGCGAGGAGTCATGTCCTGCCGGCGTACAGGATGTGGCCTCACTCCCCCCTCCTTCACTTCTCTCTTCATCCCCCTGGGCCTCACACAGCATCTCTCTCTAGCTTGCTTCCCCGCCTAACCTAAGCCACAACCACTCTATTGCTTTTTGTTCACACTCTCTGTCATTATATACTCTCATCTTTGATTGTGTGTTTTTTCAGCTCCACCACTCAACAATCATCCTTTCACCTGATTTTCTCCATCGCTCCCTTTGCCCCATATTCTACTTTTTTTCCCCTCTTCCCACGTTGCTCGCCTCACCTTGGAGCAGAGCCAGTAGAGCAGCATCAGCACACAGAACCGGGTCCCAACTTGCCTTTGAGTCTCAGCCTGCCCCTGTACGCCGGTCTGTGCCTGGGGCCTGCGACTGAGGCCTGGCCCCTATCGCCCTCTCTCATCGGCACATCTACTGTACCTGTCTGCTGGCACCCTGCCATTTACACACACACACACACACACACACACAGTTCCCCTTCATTTACCCAGAGAACCTGGAGGGGAGAAAACCCTGATAATCCAAGCCTAAAAACCTATAGAAAAAGACTACTCATGTTAGGGTCAAGCAAGTTTGACCTCCATCGAGAACACCCACGGCTACCCCGAGAGGCACACATATACAGTACCACGCATTCAGCCTGCTGGCTGCCCCGCGCTAGCCCATCAACAAGTTTCTTTGAAGGGCACCGACTCAGTGGTGGGCCATCAAAGCATATCTTCATTCATTTCCACTGAAAGGATCTGAGGCTCCTGAGAGACGCCGTGTTTGAAGTGATATCTCTGTGCCCCTGCATTCTTTACCGTGCTGTCATGACTTGAGTTAAACAATCAAAAAAAGCAAGAACATGGGCGTAAAGCCAGTGCCACCACACCGATCATGTCTCACATGTATTTGAACTACTGCTATCTTGGTTTGATCAGTGGATGCACCATACTCTGGTTGTTTATAGCAACTGACTGTGTATAATAAGGCTGTACTGTGTGTGTGTGTGTGATCACATAATCACATAAACTTGAATGAAGATCAAACAAGAAAAAAAACCAGCCATCCTTACCTGTTGAATGTCTTGAGATCGTGTTTCCATTACTCAGCCTCTTCTCTGTGCTCACCTGAGATCATCTGAAACAGATTAAGGATGGGGAAATAAAATGATTCAGAGAGGAGCTCATTCAAGAGTAAACACACATTTGACAAAAAACAGAGGAACCAGATGTAATTGCTCTGCCCAAACTTGCATCAATACTCCGACAAATATTTATCTTCTCTACAGTACGACGAGAGAGCAATCAGTTCTTTCCTCTGCTTTCACAGGTACGATGAGGTTACAGTGCAGTCGGTTCCAACCTTTAAGGCAAATTAAATGAATTTGAGGAATCATGAGATGATGAACAGGAGAGGATAATGAGAAGAAAATGTATATGTGGCCCAGTGATGTACACAGTGCTTTAGTTCAATGGGACATAAGTCAAGAGGCTGGGGACCACTGGTCTCCAGGACCAGCTGTTGGCATACAGACACACAGTCTGGCCTGAACACGTTAGTCTCAGAACCATCAAAATCTAGGAAAAAAGCTGAACGTGTTACTCTGACTGGCCTGACTACCTTCTTATCGCATTATTTTTTAGGCTCTTGGTCAAATAAACCTGGTTTTATAACGACCACATGACTCAAGACCTTCTAGAGTATCTTTACAGTTCATTCAAACAGATTTGGGTGATCTAAGGTTTCAGTAGAGCGCTACAGAAGCCGGCAGGTCCGGAGAAGCGAGGCAGTCAAAGTTGCTTTTCCGTCGCACCGTTTTAAATGACTTGCGCTGGTTATATTTTATAAGGTTAACAAGTTCAGGTAGATATTGGATCAGGGAACTTCTCTTGATCACAGGTTTTCTTCATACAGACTCATGTTTAAAGACTGAAGCTGTGCTCTCTGGACCGACTACATCTCCAGTTCCTGTTCATCCGTTCACGGACAAAGGTGCTCTCTCTACTTCTGAGTTTCACTGTCCCAGACCTGTTACCTTGGCGACAAATGCACTGTTTTCCAAGTGACACAAAGGCCTGAACTTCCAGAACCTCCTTTCAGGTTGAAGGCTCCAAGAGTCGAGGGGAAAACAGCAATAACAGGACGGCGGGGAGAGAAACTGAATACCGGCGAGGTTTCTGGGAGGACATAGTAAAATGATTCTTTCTTTCCTCTCCCTTTATAAAATACCTTTCCCTGGCACCAGCAGGCACCATAGGTAGTTGTGTGCCGTGCTGGTCCCATTTCTTTTCTATCCCTTCTTATATTTCCGTTTTTTTCTAGCTATCGTACTGAGCTAAGTGAGTTATCATGTAGACCAGCAGGCCTGCGCAGCATGTGGCTAGGCTAAGCCTCCAGATGAGGTAATGGTTAGAGGGCTGGCGAGCCAGGCGAAGGGCGGGTCGGGTCTTGATTAGCTCAGGGGTATGGGGCTCTCTCTCTCATATTGGACACCCCTTTGTGTGGTGAGATTACCACCTTATGAAAAACTGCCCCCGCTGACACGCCTGATGGGATCAGAGCTTCCTGCCCGCTGCATCGTCCTGCTTATGAGCTCTCCACAGACGGGAGGAAAAAAAAACACACACACAACCAAACACCAAGCTCACACACTTGAACCTCGCAGGAGAGACGGGCATGAACACCGGGGAGATCAGACACACAACTCACATGTTCGGTGCATACTTATGCGTACAGTACAACAAGCATGTATACATGGACACACCGCCAAGCACACACATGGCCGCAAACGTCACCACCCAGGGCCCCCTTCTCTTCCACTTGTGTAGCCTATATAATGACCACGACTGATGACCCCCAGATGGAAAACAACCTGACTTTATTAACGAGGCCAGATGACACACAAACACACGCTCACTTGCATTTACTGTGGTCGTCTCCTCCGGCCTCTCTCCAATGAAAATCACATGATGGACCACGTCCAGCAGAGAACCCCCCCCCCCAACAAAACATCAACAAACAATGTGAAAAAATCCTGAGGATTCAGAGGCAAAGCTTTCAGGGGATTTGATCCCAGCAGTCCACTAAAGAGGGCTGAGGCTATAGGATGATTTCAATTATTTGATATAATTTCTGATGGTCCATTAGTTCAAAATAAAGCTCTGATTATAATGTGTATACAGAAAGTTACAAACAAAACCTGCATCAGAGTCTGAAAGCGGAGCTGTACTTTTTCCAGATGTGTAATCGACTGTTAATAAGCAGTGGCCTTACGTTCATGAAACATTTTCCCAAATAAAGCTCATTTAAAACAGAATAAATGCAGCACTCTGGTTTGTTCAACACCTTTCTATTTCTACTGTTTAGGAGGCTGCACTAACAAACGCTCATATTTCTGCAGTGCACTTTGTGAAAGCAAATAAATATTTGTCGGTGTATACTCGCAAACATGCAAGTATACATGCATGCATACACACACACACACACACACACACACAATTTAGGGACATGGCACAACCTTGCGCCAGTGGTCCTTTAAACCGGTCATGTGAACCGACCCGTTTATTTCTGCAAATCAGATTACATCTCCAAGCTGTGCAAGTCCACACACACATTCAAAGCTTGGGGCTCAGGTCCATGCAACACACACACACACACACACACACACACACACACACACACACACACA